CCCCCAGTCAAAGTCCCTTTTCTCTAAAATATAAGCAAAACATGGAATTTAGAAGGGAGGTTTGATATTCTAGTAACTGAAATTTGCTTTGTGAATCTTATGTCCTGTCTTTTATGTTTAATAAATACCTTATTTCCTAGGCAGTGGACTGCATTTCCCAGACCGTATAGATTTGAGTTGTTGGACAAGTTAGTGACTGCAGGGGGTAACAGGCCCTCAACCAAGTGTTTTATAAGGGGGGGATAATTTTGGCCCCCCACAAAAAAAAAACAATTTGATTTCGAAACTAGAAGTATTTGAAATTATATATACATATAATCAAATATCAGTAATCGATATTTTTATAACATTTCTCGTAATAATCCATCCTGACTCGCGGATATCATAGACTCGCAAATCATAATGAACGAATTAATGAAAGGGCCTAACAAAAGACATATAGAAGACTTTGAAAATGCCATTTCCGACGATTTAGAGACGCAAAATTTTCAAAATTTTTCCGCTCTGTGCCAACCATGGTCGCGCTTCGTGGGAGTCGGGAACTCTAAGTTTATCAAGCTGGCTCCCTAAGTGACGGCCAAGTTGTGGTATCTACATAAACATACTATGCAAGTACTTAACTGAAGGTTCAGTCTATCTACAGCATAATGTAATGCTGTATATCCAAAAATCTATTTCAGAAAATGCAGGGAATTGCAGTCATAGGGGTAGAAAAATACAAAAATTTTCTGGGAGAGAAAACCTCCGACCCCCGCCGTAGCAACCACAGGGGGGGGGGCTGGGGAACTGCAGCCCCCCAATAATTTGCTAATAATCATTCATTTTTCAAAATCATGCAGACCTTTATCATTTAATCCATGACAAACTGCAAAGAATGAAGATATTACTCATACTTTCCTGCAACCTATCCAATATATTGTTAATTAAATACGCCTTCGCCCATTTAGTACTACTGAATTCTAAATTTCCACATACTAAAAAGTCCAGGGAATGGCATTTCAGAGACTCTAAATTTAAAAATTTCCTCGGGCCTTCGGCCCTCGCTTTCAGCCCCCCCAAACGAAAAGAGCTTCCTACGGCCCTGCTCTCCCCCCCCCCCTACTATTAAATTCGATACCACACCAAACTTTTGTTACCAACAAACCATCTATCATTGCTCCACACTCGGTATAGTATGGTCCCTTTTTGTAGATGCCCCCCCCCCACTGACGAATTCTTAAAAAATGCCCTGGATGGCATGGAGAATAGCTGGATTTTCAAAACAGTGAAGGGCATTATTTTTATACAAGGCGTATCCAAAGTACCCATTAGCTATTCCAGTTAGCTTAAGGCTGGTGAAACATGATTAGCTGATTAAAACCTTTCAATGCTCTTGACAAACATGATCTACGAGTGTTCATCCTTCGATGGAAACAACAAAAGCAGAGTTATTCGAAAGTCATGTTTTATTTTTGAATCATAGTCAATCAAGCCATGGTCTGAAAATTCTGCCAAAGTCTTTGTTTAATCTTTTTGTTTATGTTTATGTAAACCTGTGCACGGAGAAGACAATGTATTTTTAGCATAATGAAACAATCACCTAATGTCTAATTGTTTAATCATTCAATGTACTGTTAAAATAAGCTCAACATAAAATCGTAGTTCATTATAGGCTTTGAAGTTTGCTGAGTTTCCGACTATGTTCTTGATCCGATCTTGATTGATTATGGGGCTGGAACTACTTTCTCTCAGACTGACAGACTACCCTGTATTTTATCTTCTTTAGGAGAAAGAATGTCTGTCGCTGACAATAGGAACAGAGTACAGTACAGCTTGCGCCCGTAATATTAAAGAATTGGCGTTACGATCCAGCGGTGTTGTCCCACCCACACTCGAGAAAGTCTGCGAATTTGCTTACCAGGTAATACCTCCAAATCATAGAAATAATACATATCTATTATTTCTATGCTCCAAATACAAGACCACTACATAGCAGCGATCTTCATAGGAAGTACAACCACCTGAAAAATATACGCAAAACTTCGACGTTTCGAGCGAAGGCCCTTCGTCGGGAAGTTAACTAACTTTTTGCTTATATGTATTTTTCAGGTAGTTCAGTGTACTTCCTATAAAGATCGCTGCTTGTTCTCATCTCTACCTACGCATATCGTTCAAGACTACTACATGCATACAATGAAAAGAATTAATATTTTCTCACTCTGATAACTGCAGGTTGACCACCATCTGCTGCACGATACTGCTTAGTGCTTGAAGAATAGATAATCATTCTTTGTGTTTTGTTATTTTAGGAGAAAGAAGAAAAACGGGAAAATAGGTACGCTAGGCGTACATGTATCTGCGCCAAGGAATTCCATGGTTGCTATGAAAAAAATTTCATTCACAATTATTAATTAGTAAACATTTATATTTCGAAGTGACTACTGTATACAGCCGGCTATTTAGTAAACTGTTGGCTATATAGTGACTAAGAAAAAAAGCTAAGTCAGATAAAACACAACCCAACCGGCGTTTCACTTTCCGCACGCAACGCCTATACCGTATACTCTAACGGCAATCTCGGTAAAAGCTAGCGCAAACAAAAGTTTTATTTTATTTATTTTATTTTACAAGTTTGCCATTGCAATAGATCTATATAGAGTACTATGGTTACAAATGACTGGAATTTCCACACAGAGATAGTCAGTCTCCAATAACGGGGTTCCAAAAAAGAACAACTTATGGTATATCTAATTATTTTAATTAAAATTAAAGCAAACATAACATTTAAACACAACTACAAGAAGACAAAGCAAACGTATTGACGAACAAACGAACAAAAACTAAATTTAGCAACATGTTCGAAGTTCATTAGTTGGCGAGTGGTGTGACATTTCTAGTAATACAAACAGACTTAAATGTTCTTGGATCTTCAGGATCATAAATTTGTTGAGTTAATTCTACTTAATATTTCATTACATTACATTTAAATGTAGTTAGAGATGTGGTGGTATTTCTATTTATATTTAACTATAGTCAGTATGTAGCCGGCAGTTTACTATACCCGGCTGCTGACAGTATAGTCACTTTGATGATATAAACATTTGATGATATGACAAAGAATGTTCAGATTGCAGTCTCTTCTCTACCGCAATCAATTACTGTCAGATCAGTCAGAACGCCACCATTGTTCATAATAAAAACAGAATAAGAGTTATGTATGAAATGGGTACAAAATTGCCGAGTTAAATACTGTACCCAAATTTATAAATGTATGCTAATTGCTAAATGAAAAAAATACATACAATCTGTAAAGAAATTTTATTAACTTTTAACTCAGCTTATGAAGCAATCCTATAATCCTAACATGTCCTGTGACTAATGCACCATATAACAAAATTTTAACGTAACATAATAATTCTGAATGCTGCGACTATATATAAAATGTACCATATGTAAACAAAATTTTGACATCCCATATAGTAGACTATAGTAGTCAGTATTATATTATGAATAGACAATCGATATTATTAAAAATCATGCACGGTTACTCACCTAAAAGCTTCACGATGTTACTTTGGGCAATCTTCTAAGATATAACAAAAAGTTTTATCGAAGAATTTTGACTTATATACATAGCCAGAGCAAAATATAAAATACTCGTCACTCTGTAGAAAGCCGCCATCTTTGTTTTACGGCCTGTTCGCAGGCGTACATCCCAAATTAGTCGACCTGAGTGCTTAACGCACGCACCTACAACTCGATAGCATAGTATCTAGCGCTCCGCGCAGATACAAAAATGATGATTTGTGCACGAGGCATGCACCCCCAGGAACATTATAAAATATAGAGTCCATGAAATGTGATTGTGTAGACAATGACAATGATGTAGCTTTAAACTCGCAATGATCCATGGGTTGGAATGTACAAGAATTTGTTGCTATTGTATAGAAACTTTGCTGTCGTTGGTAGGAATGTAATTGCCTGAAAAAATAAGGAGAAACTCGACGTTTCAAGCGAAGGCTCTTTGTTGGACGTTTGCTAGAAATATCGAGTTTCTCCTTATTTTTTCAGGTAGTTATATTCCTACCAATGACAGCAAAGTTTATATTGATAATGAAACTGCCTACACTTGTACAGACAGTTCAAGTTACTATTGTAGAGAACGTCCTAGACACTGTGCCTGACACTGTGCCTGACACTATGCCCGACACTGTGCAGTAATAACATTGTGTAAATCGAGATTTTGTTGGCATCTCACTCGCAGACCTTCATTTGAATTGAATTATAATTCAATCTTTTTGTATGTATTGTCTGAGCGATTTAATCACTTTCATTTCCACTTCCAACTACAAATTTTGTTCTAGTTTAGTGTCAATTGGTGTAATTAAATAACTATGGCAAGTAAATCACAATAATAAAGTGTTTTCTTCAGTGGTATCTAACTCTCTATCTTCCCCCATTAAGCTGTGTTTGTTTCGGGTTTTATTACAATTAAAGCCTATATATACCTATATATATATATATATATATATATATATATATATATATATATATATATATATATATATATATATATATATATATATATATATATATATATATATATAGGATTATTTTTTCGTATGTTAGAAAATGAGTTGCTTTATAGCAGGTTACAAACATTGTAAGTCGTGTGGAAAATTGAACAAATTACCGAAACCTTTTCGGGATTTTGTAGATGATTCAACTACACGAAAAATACAAAAAGATCTTCGACGATTCGAACGAACGATCTTCGTCTAGAAATGAAGTTATTTTTTTGATTTTTCATGTCGTTCTTTCACCTATACAAATGTCCACTTTTTGTACTCAGTCTACAGTGGCACTGACCGTTGGAGATTTTATCACATCACTCATTATATCTTGTTTTTGCCATAATTTATTTCAAAAAGAAATTAAAGAATCTATGTACACTATTCACTAATTTATTTAGGAATTTATTAAATTTATTACGCCGTCCACAGCTTCTGTAGTTCCGTTACCTTCTTCGGGACTGCAGCAGCAATTGAGGGATTTGGTCTACCCAGTTGAAGAGCACTATTTCGGCAATATGTCTTGCAATATTCTCCACTTCCATAATGAAACGAACGTATGCCTGCAATAATTCTTCAATAATTCTTTAAAAATACATATATATACTGGTATGACAAATCATACGATTCGCAAACTGAAATTTACCTCTGGAACAAGCACGTCCGTGACGTAGTGCGTGTTGGAAGTGGTTTCTTCATTCGAAGTTCGAACAGGTGGCATTAGCATACCCATCACGACATCAAGAAAATCGTCATCCTGTGCAAACAAAATGAGGCTTAGAAATTTCACCCCGTGGGCTTGTGTGTATGATGTTATTACCTGCTCAGTAATAACCAGAGTGTTTATAGCTATACGTTTCGAGCAAACGCTATGTCTACATGAAAGCTATAATAAAAAGGTGGCATTACTTCCTGACTAGAGTCCCTAGTAAACATAACTATTGAACATTGGTTGATTATGACAATTACAAACGACAAAATATAGGAATCATTTTTTTAAGGCACGAGTCGCACTTCATATCAGCCAAATTAGAAAACGTATTCATAGTAGGTGGGTGGTCACTGCAATAAGAAGCGGAAGACCCCTGTAGTCTTTACTCAGTTTACTGATACAACATCCCAAGGCTCACAAATTGTATTTTTCGCTATACTTACTAATTCCTCAGAAAATGGAGTTTTATATTCTGCTCATAGCCGCTTCAAAATGCTCTCTTTTTCCTTTCTTTCGTGTTTATGAAAGAGCGTAATCCTCACACTTCCGATTTTTTTTTGTTACCACCATCTTTAAATGCCCCTACACAAGGTCATCAATAAGACTGTGGTGTCCACATATATCAAATTATAAATGTAATATTCGTTTTGATTTGTGGAAATCGCCATGGTACTTATTAATACATCCTTTCGATAATTACGTCACACATACTTTTTGGTCTTGGAGCCTCGCTCTCATAAGCAAATTACGCAAGGTGATTGGCTCACGATTCCTGAGAGCGAGGCTCCCAGGCCAAATTACGTAATTGTCGAAAGGGTGTATTGCAATGATTACAAGACTTACAACAATCAAATGCCAAAATGCAAGTAACTTAAATTCCAAATATTTATCACTTACCTCAACTGCTGTTTCTAAAATCAGTAACATTCCGTAAAATTATTATAGAGAATCACGTCAATTACCTTTCTGTTTACGCTATTTCAGATTGATGGCAATATTTGCAGAATATAGAAACGAAGCGTACCTATACTGACTTGAGGTGGAAGCTAGTGGAATGTCGAATATTGAATACTGCATTGTCTTAGTAGTTTAAAAATATGAATATTTCTGGTAAGAATATGAATATTTGTAGGAATATTGAAGATAGGAATATTGTAGGTAGGAGTATTGATTTACTGATAAAGAAAAAAAGTTCCGCTTTTTCCCCGGGATACTCACAAGAATTGACCTCAATTTGTGACAAAAACACCTCAACAAAAAGATCAATTTTTACAGGAATTAGATACATTTAAATTCTTCGCTAATTGATCTATATCGCTACGAGATTCAAATTGCAGCAATCATTTCAAAGCCCCAGGGGCTCAAAAATACCAAACTTTTCTGTGGGTGGCCCCCACTTTTTCAGTTCACCACCTCCTAGTTAGATCTCTGTTAGTTTCCTAGTTAGTTTTCGTGATACCCCTGCCCTTCACTGACAAAAGAGGCCCTGCTTCAACCTAGCAATTATACTAAATATACAAATCCTATAAAGTAGCACTTTATACAGCCTCGTACCCAGGATCTTTAGTAATTAATAGCGTTCAGAGCTCTGGGTGAGCTAGGCTGTAGGTGACATATGAAGTGACGCACACGATTTTGACATCTCTATCTCAATGAAATGTAATAGTCAACGACAATGTATGTTTGGATCAGTTTAGTGACTCAGATAGTACTATAGTTATAGCCACCATATACTGCACTGTCACACTTAATCAATGCACCTATAAATGCAACCAACTACAATAATCAGAGGTTGAATAATTTGATATTAATGATGTCAGAAAATGGTTTGATTGAAGTCTTAAAATTTTGTTATGGACGAAAATATATCACTTTGAAACTAGTACTTTATTTAAATATTTAAGTTATAGATATGCCAGTAAAAATCCAGGTTTTCAAATGTTCCCCCAAACCGTTTAATGGCATGAAGGCATTTCATTCTTAGTGGCCCTACCAAGCCAAGAATTGTTCAAAAAGTTGTGTTGTGTGAGATCTCATATTTTTTACCTGCGGCTGCGCTGGCTTGGAAGTGTAAGCTACAGATTATCATAGTTGTATCGAGTCAACCCAAATTGGGTTACCCAATTACCGGCCCAATGTTTACTTGTTTACTTTACTTGAATTTACTTTACTTTACTTTACTTTACTTTACTTTACTTTACTTTACTTTACTTTACTTTACTTTACTTTACTTTACTTTACTTTACTTTACTTTACTTTACTTTACTTTACTTTACTTTACTTTACTTTACTTTACTTTACTTTACTTCGAGTACTGATAAAGAAAAAAGTTCCGCTTTCGCCCCCGAATACTGACAAGAATAATAGACCTAAATTTGTGACAAAAACACCTCAACAAAAAGATAAATTATTACAGAATTAGATACATTTAAATTCTTCGCTAATTGATCTATATCGCTACGAGATTCAAATTGATAGACACAAAGTAGAAGAAAACAGTACTTTTTAACAATTGTACAATTGTGTAATGCCTTCCGTTTGAGACATTTAAATTAACGAACTTTGTTCTCATCTAATTAGTACTTATTATAATCACTAGACTTCATGTCGGCTATAATTTTAAGATTCCTAACGTACATGCAAAAGAGCAAAAAAGTTCCTCTTGACATATAACGTGACGCACACGATTTTTTATCTCTATCTCAATGAAATTTAATTGGTTAAAACTTCTCCACGTGACATGATTAGTTCAAGACTTTAAAAGGAAAATTCAAATCAATTTTGAGCAGTGATGTACCAACCTCCAAACGTGTTACAACAACTAAAGAAAATGGCAAAAACTATGTTTCTAATTTTCGTTGGTTTTTTTTCGATGGCTACTCTTGGTGAAGCGATCTGTTGTGATTCGATAAAATCGTTAGTCAACGAGATGATTGAAGCGAACAATACATTATGTGCTGCTGGAAGCACCCTTTCCCGTGACTGTTGCAGCGATATTGCAAATGAAGTTAGAAAATATGTTACTGCATATGAAGCATTGTGTTTGAATATCACTTCAGGTAAATTTCGTCATTTGCTTAATTTTAATTAATAAGATGTTTTGTAAAGCATAAGGCAGAAGGTGATCGCATAGAAGGTACAAAATTACCATCACCTTAATATGGCGAGGTATATCTTGTCCAAGATCTCAGAACGTTAAGTTTGTCATCTTCAAACCTGGTTATAATCTCATAGACAGCGACGCTGGAGAGGGGGGCAGCAGGAGGGGCATCGCCTCCTTGCCCTTTCCTAAGAGGGGGCAAAGGGGGCAAATGTGCTCTATCTTTAAAAAAACAACAATTCTCCTAAATAACGTAAAATACTTAAATACGATACAAAGGAAACGGTAAATTTTCAGCGTACGCGTGATTATAAATTAAAATGTCTTGATGACGCCTCAAACGTCGTACTTCGGCCCTTTTAATTGCCTGATCGTAGGTTAAATCCAGTCGGCTAAAACCACGCACATGATCAGATAATATAAATTTATGGACCCAATTAACTGTAACTGGTAACAAATTAAAAGTTTTTTTGTCACAAAACGTTTCAGTTGAAAAATGTTTGCAAATTGTGAAATTGCGATAGAAACGTTTTCAATCCCAGTTCTAGACTCCAAATAAACTTAGCGAATTTAAAAATATTGACGCTTAAGGAGGCTCCCTACAGTTGCGTGCGGGATCTTCGCGGGACCAGTACGTGAACTATCCCACGCAACCGCATGATCAAAACAAAACAAAATTTTCTTTTAAAAAAAAAGCTATTTCTGAAAGGTTTCTAATGGGAAAAAGCGTTGAATAATA